GACTGGGTCATTTTGTGCTGGTAACCTACTGTGTACACACTGAACCTGTGCATGTTTGAGTTCCATATAGAAAATACACACTCACCAGTGACTGTGGGCATTTGTGCACATTTGTGCTGTAAAACCAAAGGAGGGTTAATCTTATGGTTTCGGTACTTTCTAAATAGGGATTAATAGCTTGTGGGTGAAAAACAAGTTATAAGTAACTTGAGACCTGTGAGGTTCCATTAAGCACCGTCAATATATCGATATAATCAATATGCTTTTGATATTGATGTGCCAATGTTATTTGGTAATATCAATTATCAAAAAAAACCAGATTTTGGAGAAATATCAAAAATACTGGAACTTTGAAAACATCGCTATTGAAAAATATATCGAAAATATTGTTACTGAAGAACAAATTTTACTAAAAAATACGAAAGTGCATCGCCACATTACCATCATTTTGGATAAGCCATGGCTTTATATGTTGGTTCTCAGGCTGAGTAAAAAATGTCCCTGTAGCTTATACTCCGGGCAGCTTATACGGCGACATTGGAAGAATAAATTCAGTCACCTACCACTATGAAAATCGGACCCCCTCAATTTTAGAGTATCACTGATACTAAACAATCAGCACTGTACCTCGTAGGTCGGTCTTTCCCTTATTCTCTCCCACTTGGGCTTCTGGGGTAGTACGCGGACCACGGGCGCCATGCCCTGGCTGTACAGCTTCCCTTGCTTATTCATATTCATGATGTTGATCTTTACCAGCTTGTTCATTGGGCAGCCCTTGATGGCAAAGTGGAACCACGACCTGTCAGGGGATGAACATACGAACGGATAACTACCCTGCCATCTCTGCTCTGAACTGCAAGTGGATGCCCGCTCAGCACGCCCTGCGGTTCCACACCTGTAAGCTGACTTCCACACATTGCAGTATACTCTTTCAGGTATCTTAAAAATTGTCTAGGAAGGTTTCAAGAATTTGAAGGACTGAAAGGGCTTCCCACAGTCCTCAATCCTCTGAAAGGTACAGGATGCAGGATAGACAGCATGTGGTTCCTACACAATGAGACACTGTACATACACATTTTAGACGATACGGACGAATCCTCAAGTAAATGGAGGTTAAGTAATCTTTTAAAAAATGGAAAAATATTACTTTTTACAAAATCAAGCAACTACTCTCAATTCTTGGAGATGCTCAAGGAACAAACCCTTAACACCAAAGCATATGAAATATCAAACTACAGAGAGTTACAGCTTGGTTAATGTTTTTTGATGCTATTGACAAACAGCCGAGCGACCATACCCTAGGGCTAATTCCAATTGGTTGACCGGACTTTCAAAATCATCCATTGTTTGGGCAACATTGTTCGAGCTACAGCTAACGTGTCCTTGCATTATTTACGAAGCATAAAATTGTTTAGCCTTCAAACAACCAAAATCCCACTTCAATAAAGGTCAACAACCAAGGTCAATCAAGATCAATTCTGATTTCTGGCAAGACTCTCGCATACCTGTTGCCATTTTCGAACTCCGTCCCACCACAATCCGGCTTGGTCCACACGTTGAACTCATAGTCTGGTGTCGGGCTGGGGTCACCAACCCGTCTGATGGTCACATCATCTTCGTCATCATGGTAAACACGCTCGACCCGGGCCAAGTTGCCAGAGTCGAACTTTGACGTGAAGAGGAGACCTCCGCTGCGGTACTCCATGGTCAGGTCAAGGAGACGAGAGCGGGAGGTTTAGCCTGTGTTGCCACTAGCAACCAGAGAATAGTCCGGATCACATCCTTCCTCATGAATTTAACACCAACAGAGATACTCCCTGGACCCCATTCATCTACGAGAACTGGAAAGGGCAATATTCATTATCAGATTCACCTCAATACCCATCATGCCCATGAACACTGGTGGTAGGGCATCCTTCAGGATTGAGAACACATTTTTTCATAAAGTTATATGTACAAATCGTCAGTTCAGTGCCAAAAGTAATTAGACTTACGGCAAAAATGTAATGGAGGGCCTGCGTGGAGTGCCCTCAAAGAGGACATGTTTTGTTATTTAGATGACAATGAAGTACTATAGCATATCACAAAGGCACAAAGACCTGTCATTTGTGAGGGCGCTCCACGCAGGCCCTCTATTTTTGAAAGCACTCTCGTCTTAGGGCCTTATGAGCATGAACAAAATATTTCATTGAAACAGACTAGGCCCACCCTCCGTTTAAATTGGGGCCAATATATTCCTAAGAGAGAGTTCCGTCAAGGCCTATGGACAATAGGCCACTTGATGATGCCCCTGTACACAAACCTACAGTGAGTATACGACGCGTCTAAAAAAAAGTTTTTTAAGTAGGCCTGTGCCTAGTAGTAAATCATGCTTTGGAATTTTCCTTGACCTTGCTAAATTTCACTTTTTGGGACATGTTATCACTTTCTGACGGCTGTTGTAGGCCTAGGCCCCAACATTTTAGGGGAAAATTAGTGTCGTCTGTATATCATGCATATGGAACTCTTTCCTATTTATATTTCCACCAATTTGTTTGGCCTAAGTGCAATTTTCAAATATTAAGGACCTTCTTGACCTTTCCTTAAGCACACTGGGGCTGGCACGAGCTGACGACAAAATGTTGTTGGAAAAATTGTATCCAATTGTATCGGCAAACATTGGCCAGTGAAAATGAAGCTGCACTGAGGTCATGGACGTCAACAGTCCAGTCTTCAGGTACTTAATATATGAGTCTAAATCCAAGCTGAAACGGGACACGAATGTTTCATTTGTTAAAGAAAAACGACTAGGCCCACCCGACAAGTGATGCCGTCTTATATGTCTAGTGCCCGCCGCCAAATTGGCAAACATAATTAACGAGTCCATAAGCATGATGAGCGCCGTCATGGCCGTAAACCAAACTAAGGCAGGCCAACATCGCATCTCGCAAAAACCACGCACAAAACATCAGGTGCATTTCAAAGAAATGAACATTTAAAAAGCAAATATACTAACCTTCCTTGCTCTTAAATGGGTGAACTCTAAAAATTTACCATTCTACTTTATCTCGAAATCTGAGTTCATTAAAATTTTATAAAAATAAGTGTAGACGCCAGCATCTGTCCCTTGTACCAGTAGCCGGTGTGATACTGAAAACAAACTGTTTAGCAACTGTCACGTGATAAAGATCAGCATTCTGATTGGTTTACAGTTGACTTTTCTTAATGGCACTTCGAGCTAACATGGAAACACAATTTCACTAGATGGCTTATACTTTGCTTCCCTACTTTTCGATCCCCATACATCCGAATAAAAAAATAAATAAATAATAAAAAAAACAAGAAAAAGATGTGGTTGGCCGATGATACATGTACCGATCAAGTCTGCTTTTTCAGTTGGACGGAAGGGTGATTTGTCAAGGTAACAAGCGGTAAAACGACAGTGACATACGGATTTCGAGCGTATATAGGAGCCTAGCTATAAACTTATGAAAAACTTTGGCGCAATTTTTGATATAAGCGGAAGCATAGTGGGCAAAACTTAGGTAGCTACAAAAGCTTGTACCTCTAGTTAGTCTTTTCACTAATAGGTGCCCTCCTTTATGCTGCATGTAAAGGCACAAGTGAATTGGCTATGGCCTGTACTGAGCTCAGTCACACCATGGAGGTCACACCATGGAGGTTGACCACCTCCATGGTCAATGCGCACGTGTCTGCTCCCCCCAACTCTCCAGCATACTACTAGTACATGCGGGCTAAACTATGCCGGTTCTCAAATATAATTCTTAATCAATTTTCTGCGATTTTTGTCTGAATGCTTGCGCTTGGCGATAGAATTAATAATAACGGGACAAAATCGCAAGGAAAGTTTCATGCAAAAAAAGACGCCCCCACATACAGCTGGCTGGGGACATACTGAGGCCTGCCACTTGTGGTCACGGACATGGCAAAATTCATTCAGTTGGAACGTTATCGTGCAAGGGGATTTTGCTACCTCTGACAAAAATCTTCACCGACTCATACATTAAAAAAAGGAAGTCCGCGTAGCCCTAAAGGGCCGCGAGCAGGTGCATGATAATTATTCCTATTTTGTTTTGTTTTGTCACTCCTAGTATATTCGCAGCCAAAAGAGGGGGGTAATTTTCAGTTTCATTTTACAAAAAAGCCAGATCATCACCGTGCTGATCTGCCAATTGCTGGAAGAAATGCAGCCGGTTATAAGGGTCTTTGACCTGGGGGTGGGCTAGGCCCTACTTGGTATTTTTCGGTGGGGAGTCGCTACATTTGAAACAGTCATAAGCCCACTAGGGGAACTTGGGCGCCGGGGTTCAGGATTGAAGGGGAAAATGCTGGGAATTACATGTTACTCTACCAACCAAAATGAAACCAGTACAGATAACAAAGATAAATTGGCACTGCAGCAACCCTGAGTAGAAATTAATTGCGTGTCATATAAATATTCCAATCATGAGGTAGGGGACGAGGCCCGGAGTTCGGCGCCTGCAGGGTGCCTCCCCTGCTGCGCCCACACGCCGCAAGTCCGGCAGGTACCCAGGGTTCAGAATGTTGTGCGTTATTGAGCTATCCAGGGCGGCCCTTCAAAATCTGCCCCGAAAGTTACACCGAATAGCGTAATTATTTTTCCTATCTAAAAAAAACACCATGTAGCTTTACAGGTGTCTGGTTTGATTCCTCTATGGCCATGGGTTTTGTGAATTTGACATCTCGGCGCGGCGAACGCAAGTGAAGTGAACGCCCTCCAACGTTATTATTAGGAAGGCCACGTTGTTCACCTGCCGCGCCGCGGGTACCGTGTACATGTTGGCTAAATTTCACTGGTCCCAAATGACATTAACTATTCTTCGACGCATTGGCCGGGTACCAGTATGATACGTGCAAGTTCAGTGAACTAATTTCGGTGGCAAGGTGACATGGCGGCCGTGAACAGCTAATGAAATCGCAAAATGTAGGATTATTTTTCCAAAATTCTTTATGTTCTCAAGTGATTAATTAAGTTTTCTGAGCAGATGTGCTAGTCTCTGAGATGGTGGATGCTCGGCAAGGTAGAGACATGTTTCTTCGGCGGGCTCTGGAGAAAATTCTTAACGATAAAGAAACCAAGAAATCCTACAATTCGCAGCTGAGAAAGGCATGCCAAGTTGCCTTGGGTGAGTGTCACCAATTTCGTGAAAAAAAAAGGCAAAGCAAAAAAGTAAATTAACAAAGAAAAGCAACAAAACAAAATATTGTAAAATCAAGAGGCTAGGTGCTGCTTGGATTTGATTTCTGTTGACTTGTAGATAGCCTAGTCACGCCTCACTATCAGCATGATGATGACTGACTATCATCAGCGACCAGCGTATGACATGATCACTGATGATATGACCAGGTCATTGATGGTCAGATGATGATGTGGACATGGTGGATGTCCGACAACTCAACCGTTTACGAACTCAACTGGGGACAACTTAACCATTTAGACAGCTCGACCAGTGGGACAACTTGACATTTTACCACATAATCCATTTAGTAGACAACTCGATCATTATTAGGTCGGGGACCAAACCACTATCTAGCGATGACACCAGACTATGCATACGCTGCTTGTTTGTGCAACGATGATGTAATTATTGAACTATTTTTAGATCACGGTTCACAGATGACATCGATCTCTTTATCGGCCCAATTTACAGGAAACATGCTACGCAAGATCTAAATGAAACTTTCCTTTCATTTGGTATCTGTAAAAGCGGATAGAGGAGATTGTTTGGTCGAATCTTGCATTGGATGTGTTGAAGTCGGTAGGCAGGCGAGACCAACTCTGCCGATGAAAACCTTTTTGCAAAAAAAAATGAAGCTTTGCCAAAGTTTACTTTATGCATGAAAATTTTGCCATTAAAAATCTCCATTGATTCATCGTGGCAAATTTATGTTCACTGTGGCGATTTTCCAAAATAGCGATTGAATACAATTTTGCCATAGACTCCAACGGTAACGACAACAGCAGCCATGTTGGCCGCCGGCATTTCAAATCTTTTTATTTTCCCAAAATCGCGCTGGAAAGTTACATCATCATCACGTGACCTGATAAAATGTCGTCATTGCCTCTTGAACTAGCGACATAAGCAGAAACTGGGGACGTTGCTAGATTGTGGTTTGATCCCCGACCTGATCATATCATCAATTGTTCATGCATAAAGCTAGCCCCATAATGTGGCCTACCATAAGGCATTTAGGCCTACATGAAAGAATTCGGGCAAATTTGTGTGTTTTACATTACATTGCGACTTAAATCATCAGGCATGGTGTGCATAGGGACCTGGTGATGCAGCCTGCTTTGGACTGGTAGACAGCGCATCAGTTGCCCTAACCAGCACCATGTGTGGCCACAACGCCAATACAGCGTGCATGGTGGCACAGCGCACATTCCGCAGTGCACAGGTGCCTCGGCCGCACTGTACTAATGATAGTTGCTCGTCTGCAGGTGCTGGAGATGGTAAATCTGTCCCCTGACTGTAAAGGGCACGCACACTCACAAGTCAACTTGGCTCAAGCTGATGTGTCTCAGCGGCCGAGTTGTGTGTCCATTTGAGGCGCAGATTGTTGAGTTGTCCCCCTAGTCGAATTGTCTCAACAATTTAGTTGTTGCGTGTTGAGTTTGCTAATGGTGGAGTTGGCTGAGCGCCAGTGACATCTGACATGTCAGATCAAATATGGCACATGCTGTGACTTGTGAATTTACGTAAGTTGAACACAATTTCAACTCCAACAGAATTTTGTGCAAACATTGGAACATTTGTAGTGCCAGCCACTCACCTGGTCTATCCCGTATCCAGCTAAGTGAATGTTGTGTGGAACTTGCTTGCACAAGCTTGTGACTGGTGCAAACAGGTTGTCAACTTGACCTCGCCCAATTTTATGCAAGTTTAAAGGTCTTGATGGTACAGTCTGCCATTGTCAATGTGCGTTATGCATATTTTAGGCAACAAAAATACGCAAAATCTCAAGAAGGATGCCGACATGGCTTACGAAGTTTGTGCCTCACGTGTAGTCACATCAGTGAATGCTTTCAGGCCTGAGCCTATAGTCCTCGAAAAACAATATTCTAGGATCTCAATTTCAAATGAAAAATTGGAAATTTATACTTTTTGAATGCACCAAAATTCAGCGCTGTCATTCAGCCAAATGCAGCTATGTACTGAACTGACAAATAAGGCACAAATGAAAAGGTACTTTTGATTTTTCTCTTCTTACCAAGGTTTTGACGTCCGAGACATTAAAATACGATTCATGATGAAAATCGAATGCGCCGAGTTAATAACTTTAATGTATTTTTCAGCGGGGACATCTCCAAAATAAATGGCAAAATGAACATCGCGCATGGAATTTTCAAGCACTAAAAATTACAGCTGTTTCAGCATTCTCAAACTTCATGCGTTTTCTGTCAAAATTCTTGAACATCATCAAAATTCTGTCAAATATGACATTTGCAACGAACGCATTGTACTTATTATACATTTTTGATGCCGCCAAACTTAAAAATAATTTTCGGTGCTTGAAAGGTATAAGACCAGGCAGATGTGCTGGTATAGTGACAGTGATTTTGAACAGTAAGAGAATGAAGAGAAACCAAACTTTTCTTTTCAGTTTCCGTCAATTTTGTGTTCTTTTTTTCATGGCTCATATTTTTTTGTTAAAGTTATTTCTTAGATTCTTTAAATACATCAGTTGAAAAATATACTGTGTTCTCGTTGTTGAAAGAAGTTTTGAAATCAAGTCCTCTGGTACAAACACTTTGAAGTAAAACTTTAAATGAATTTAACTCCATTTGATTTACACTGGTGGCCAACCAAATGTCCACCAAATGTACACGGTATGCCTAATATCCCCAAATAATCATTTTTATAAATCTGAAGGTGCTAATTTGTATTTTACATGATCAAATTCGCTCTTTTAGAAGTTTTGAAAATTGACTACCGGAGTTGCATTTTGGTCCATTTGGTTATACAGCACTTTTAACTAAGATCAAAGTGCATGGCATTTCTATTACCCTGCTCACTGGGCCCACGATACCAGCTCAGCTCCCCAGGGAGTATACAGCTCAACACAGCCATTTTGATGCAAAATGCTAAATTAACCACAGTCTGCCCTCACAGGTACCCAGTACATGTACTCAATTACTCCTGGGTGGGGAGAGGCAATGAGTGACAAAGAGCCTTTCCCAAGGGCGCTCGCACCATGACTCCTGGCTGGATTCGAACCAGCAACCTGCAGCTTTACCCGCTGACTCCAATCCCAATCTCTGAACCCACAAATTATGCAATAACTATGCTTATCATTCTGCACTTTAAAGGACTTGGGGCACTGTGTGAGGTGTCTAAATTACAATATCTGAAAGTTGAACAGGTTTACTTGGGACCCTTGTTTTGCCTCAATTTTGGGAGGGAATACATGTACAAAATCCTTCTTCCCGTAAATTCACTGGCAGCTTCAAGGAAGTATGTAACCTAGGCTGAATCACAAGTTGCAGATAAAAATCAAGTGTTTTGTTGCAAATGTGGAGCTTAGCGTTGTTCATAACGCCATGTGTGTAGGTCTACTCTGTATTGATACATGCACATTGTACATTATACGTATGCTTTACATGATGCAAATGTGGTGTATTTCATTAAGTTGGGGTAATACAGGTCCTAAACTCCTTTCTCTTGACATTAGGAGATTGGGGTTTGGACCAAAGTCCAGTTTGTGGTCTGGTTGATAACTTGTGAAGCAGTGATGGCTTTCTTGTACATACAGTCTACATGCCACAGGCTGTGGGTTGCAGAGTTTTGTAGTCAGCATGTGCTTTAATACTGCAAATATTTGTTGGATTTCCTGGTCATGGTACATGTACATGTAATTGTACTGAGTTTCAGGCACTCAAGCGTGACTCAACAGCCTGCTCTGAGGTTGGCCAGTTGAATGGTAGGGTATTCTGAAATCGTGCGGAAACATGGTTGGAATGACTGGGGTGTTTGTGTGTCATTGAGGACCATCTGATTACATGTAACTTGCTCCTTATGTCCATGTACAGTACACACGTAACAGGTCACAGGTGTTTTGAAGCAGTTTGCGAAGCCCTTGTCAACCTCAGTGAAGTGAATGCGGGTGGTGTAGTCATGTGCGAAAGTTGGAGGATTGTGGCCACACCAATAGGCTGGGAGGTGGGGAACAACGGCTGGTTTCATATTGGACTGAAGTTTTTACAAGTTGAAGGTGGCAGGCTGACAGCCAAACTGGGACCTTGAGTACAAAAACCAAAGCTGGCAAACACATACAGCGACATTTCACTGTACACGCACATTCCCAGTGGCCAGCCTGTTATGGTACATGCACCCGTGGAAAGCTTTGTGGTCAGTTTTTGTAAGGAGTGACTGTCACAAACAGTGGATCAGTGCAATTAACAGTGTGTGTACACATATACAGATGTATGTACATGTACATGTAGTTATCACAGCGCTTACTGCCATTTTAGGGGCCAACCCCAAAAGACCATGGTCACCGGATGTGTCCAGTCAGACTGAAATCATCCAATTCATCTTTTTTTAAATGTGGCCAACTGCTTTAATGTTTTGCATCTAGTGTGATGGCAGATGATTTCATTTTAAAGCCTGCCACAGTGCCACTAGACTGGTTCATCCATTTAGTCACCTGTTAACATGACTATTGACAGACTAAACAGAAACCAGGAACCAGGTGTGTCCTTTGGCATAGTTAATTAATGCAGGTTTAAAAGATGAACAGGTGCCAGTCTATGGTATGTTTCTACTGTACATGTATATTGCATGTCCTCACTCTACACTGTATGTACATGTACATGTACTGTATATGTAAACTACATGTAGGACTCTTGTGAGCATGAACTCCATAGATTTCAGTAATTTTTCCTTGCAGTGATACCGGTATATCAGCCTTCAAAAGCACTAACTTGTCCTCAAAAATCAATTTAGCAGGCAAAATTTTGAGGCCTTACTTAACATGTTACATTGTAAAACTTTCAGACCAGCCTCGTAGGGTTTTTGCTTGCACAATAAGACAGTCCCAAATGTTTAGAATCCCGAATCGTCAGATTACACAATATAGGTAATTCACAATGCATTGCACCAACAGGAGGTTGCCAAGGCGAGGCCTTTTTGCAGTGCATTATGGGATAGTCGGCAAAATCTCATTTGCTAACTGCACTCTGCGTGGAAAACTTAAATTTTTCTAAATAGTTATTTATCTCGGTTGACAATTCGACATTACTCATTGCAAATGGGTGTTTGGTTGTCAAAATGATGGTTTTGTGTGGTGCATGGAATACCTTAATCAAATATCAACAAATTACGAAGTGGGCTTAATCACTGCAGTGTGTTGACCCCAAACTTGAAAGTGGCCTGTCAGTGGCAAACTCTCAGTGGCGTGCTATATTGTGAATTGCCCGTATTCCTTCGCTTCAAAATGTCCACTGCATAGCCTTTGGTGAGTTTTATTGGAATAATTTGCTGAGGCGAAAAAGAACCTGCTTCAAAGTAAAAGCCGGGGTCAGAATTAATCTTACATGTACCGTACTGTGTGTGTACTCCGCTCCAGGCTTAATGACAAATTTTGTGGAGGAGTTACCGGTCGGAATTACTTTCAAGCTGAGTTCGTACAGGTGTTTGAAAAATGATGTTTCATGACAAAGTAACCTGAACTTGCGGTCAGAGAGTGTCTCCTTCCTTAGGATTCTTCCGTGTGAATAGTCATGCCTTCGTGATGTAACATGTGTACCTTCTCACGCAGTGTGTTGCCAGCATTGTTGTCAATGTTGTTTATATAAGGTTTGCTGCAAATGCCAACGATGAGTCGAAAAACCCTTGGATGCCAAAACTGTGGTTGGAAGCAGAGTAATGCCACATGGTGGACAAGTTATCATTTTGTACATACATGGAATTCTTTACAAATTGGTTCGAAGTGAATTCCAGGCGTAAAATGTGTTTCATGTGCAGTGGGGAGCATTTAAGAATAAGGAACCTGCCGTCATATGTGTTTAACAGGTGACTTATGCCAGTTGCACTGTTGAAGCAGTTTTGGAGTTGCTTTACGTGACAGACAGACTTGAACAAAATGCATGTTTTGGCTGTCGTCAAATTCCAGACTTGGATTTTCCTAGCTTTTCATGGATGGTTGGCTCCTGGCACTCACATTCAAATTGTGGTGATTTGAAACAATGATCAATTCTTCATTTCTTAGCTACATCAACGCCCTCATTCAAAGTCTTTGATAATGAAGTGCCAATGTTTATTCACAAATAATTCTTCCCTTTCTTTTACAGAAGAAATCAATGAGAAGTACACCGACAAAGGGTAAGTTGACATTTTTTCCCCAGCTTGATCCAAATTTTACCCCCTCCCATCCATTAAGATTTTATTGTCTGGAAAAACATTAGTGATAATTTTGTTTTCCTTCAGATTTCAGTACTGAATGAAATATTAACTTTTGCAACCCAATAGAAATCTGAGATCCCTTAGAATTTGTAGGGTTTTGGAGGATTTGATAGGATTCAGGAAGGCATGTCCCATGCATCACTTCACCCTGACCAGTCCGCGTTGAGCAGAAGCATTCCCATGTTGGTCGGGAGTGTTCATTTTGCTGGGTAGTGACACGACCAAAAAGTGTGCATTTCCTAGTCGTTTGTTAAACAGCAGAGTGCAGTTCTGACCAAAGGAACCTCTGTTGCTAGGAAAATTGCGCCCTTTTGTGGTTCAGCTCGGGGCTCCTGATGGTCAAGGTTTGTGTAGTGCCAGGGCTAGTGTTTATCCTGTATAATGCCATAAAATCTGCCACAAAATCATGTTTGATTAATTTTGTCTATTAAACAAAACGGGTTTAGCCAAACAAAAAATTAGTTGTGTTTCCTATTACATTGAAAAATAAAATTAGGATGGTTGGTTGGGTAAAATAAATTTTTTTACTCTAAATTTTTATAGCCCAAAAAATTAGGGTCGTATGATGGTCTGTTTTTTTTTTTGAGGGGGGTGTATATTTGTAACAAATACAAAGTCAGTGTCAGTGGCCCTATGACCTTTTTTTTCCCATCATTTTCACAAGAGTGCTATCTGAATGTTTGTTTTGAGGTTGGTCAGGGCCATGTAAGCTTTTCAAAAGGTCAGGCCTCAAATTTCTTTTTTTTTTTAGGGCACTGCCATTTGGCATTTGTGGACTGGCTGAAATAAAGGGCACTAATGCCAAACATGAGGGCATTAATGCCACCAGCGTACCAAAGTTATGGGCATTAATGCCACCAGCGTACCAAAGTTATGGGCATGGATGCCGTCCCGATTTTTTTTTTATGTTGTAAGAAAATCAATATTCATTCAGGTCTAAGAATAACTAGGATATGCATTATACATGTACATGTACCTGAACATGTCCGTTATAAGTGCCGAACCAGCAACTGAGTGTTGAAAGGCTTCTGCCTGTTTTGACTGCAGCCGTTCTTTCCTCGGCATTTTGCATACCGAAAAAACTGGCTAGGCCAGTGATTTTGCACATAAGAACATACGTGAGAATTAATCAGGGCAGTCCCGATTGACCGATGTCATGTATGTACAGTTTGGATGGTGTTAGTTAAAATACTGCCACAGCCATACAATTGTCCCGTGTGCATGAAAAACGTGGAGCTCTCGATGTACCGTTATCGCGCGTACATGCTGATGGGCACTTGTTCTAGACTAATGTTATTGCATGGTATATTAAAATGCTTGGCTTGGGCACGCGCTGTTATGTTAAGTTGTTGAATAGGCCGGCGGATGTCGCCTGTGACAACCTTGCGATTGTGCAGTGTGCATGGATAGAGCAGGCCGAGCTGCCGGTGCGCGGCAGGCCAGGCTGAGTGTACAGTATCCCCATTATACACACAGTGTAAGCATGCATGCCATACATTTGGGTGGCGCGGCACAGTGTTCCAGTCGAATGTGAGCGATTGTGGAACGACGTGTATGTCACTTTCCATGCCGCTTTCCGTGTACCTCGCTGAACAGGGGCAGTCGATATGTACGTGTAAGGCACTACAGCCAAGAGAAAAAAAGGGCACTACCATCTTGGCGGTGAAACACGCTCACTTTTCGGAGGCATCACGGCCAAATAGGAGGACACTGATGGCCATGGCCCGGGAAATTCGAGGCCTGAAAGGGTACCACTAACATCAATTTATTTAATAAAAGGACCTCGCAGACAATTCATAATTGGTAAAACTGGTATATGTACATGTAAGTAGGGGTCCAGGAAAAGAAATGAATTTGATGCCTGTCACAATGATGGGAAAAAAACTGGCTGGCATTTTAGAAAGGTGCCTGGATGAAACTAACAGGAGTCAGGGTTCCCTTCCCCCTTCTCACAGAAATAACCAGCAGAATGCATCGGGTGCTCTTCCCCTCCCCAAGACCCAGGTCAACTTCATCGCGGCCGACCGCTACTTCTTGCCGTTTGAGCTGGCCTGCCAGTCCAAGGCTCCCCGGATCGTCAACACGGCCCTGGACTGTCTCCAGGTATAACAAATTGTTACTGTGACTTTATCAGTAGTAGTACTGTGATCTTCATACGTGTAATACCTCTGTTTTGAATACTGTTTTTTTTCATTGGCCCTCATTGGCCCAGAGCGATCACGTGACAGGGTGACATAACCGCATGTCACACTCATCGTTAGACATCACATTTACCAGCCTTGTGTATTTTACCATAAGTGGCACAAAATGAAACTGAAATAAGCATTTGCGATTTGTTGAACAATAATCCTATTCATCCAGATCCTTCAGAATCCACAGAGATATTTTTGGAAAGGTTTTATAGGATTGAGGAAGGTAGAGCCCAGCCACTATTAAATTGATTAATGCACGTGGGGCTCAGTAATAGTCCCTGCACAATGGAGAATTTTGAAGGGCTGAGTCAATTAGAGTAATTCACTATTCGAATATTCGATCTTCAAGTTGATCGAATATCCGAATATTTGGTCGCACCGACCGGCAGATTGTTGGTGAACAAACTATTATACAACATCAGTTGCAATAGCACGCACAATTGTACATTATGATCAATATCATAGCTTCTCACATCTAGGAGGATCTCCAGCCATTATTTAGCAAGATTTAAAAGATAAACAAAACTTCTTGCCCTGTTGAAAATTTCTATTCCTTTTAAATTATTTAATGAATAATTTACTTTTTAAATCGTTGTAATATTTCTGACACTTTTCATTTGAATCTGCTTGAAACAAGCCTTCATAGTGCGATTTTTCTCATTTAAAACAAAAGAAATTTTCCCTTCCTTTTCATGACTTTTGCATTCAAATATTCAAATTCAAAAAATAACATTCAAATATTCAAAATTCAAAAATAATATTTGAATATTCGACAATCAATCGAATATTTGGTTCTTCGGATATTCAGCACAGCCCTAGCATTTTGAAGCTGTCCTAAAGGTGCCCAGTAAGTGAAATTTATTGATGATTCTAGTCATTGCTGTAGTTAGTACATTTACCCTTTTGCCAAGCTACGTGTACACCAGTCTATGTGTATATCAGTCAGTGATTAATTCCCACAGACTGGTCTGTAGAATTTTTTGTGATACTATGTACATGTACACATGCAGTTGGTCTGGGCATATATTTACTTGCATATTTCCACCAATTTGGTGCTTGTGAGTCGTTGAAGGCACGCACATGTATTCCTCCAGTGCACATGTATTTATCCTTCGGTGCCAACACAGAATTGGGGTCTCTTTCATTTTTGGTACTGGTATTTACATGTACATGGTCTCCGGACTGTGTAATCCTAAGACTGAGGTTTGAGTGTTATGTCCCAACTATCCGCCCCGAGCTGAAGTGCACCCCCAATCGGCGAAAGAAAGACTGGTGGTTACAAGTGGGTTCTTGCACGCGTTCTGCATGTACGCAAAGACCATACATGCCGGAATAAATTAGTTGCGCGCACTCAGCGTGCTCCGCGTCAAACGCGCATATACTTGCGCGCCTCATGGCTCGCCTATGCAGTGAGTACCAAAAAAACCACGCCCTCTTTTGTTCCGCTTGGAGCGGATAGCATTTGTCCTAATCTAGGATCTTCTCAATCACAATGCTGCACATTGCTGCACAATGCTGCAGTTGAGAAGGCCTCAACTACATGTACATGTATAGTTGGCTAACTCCTGTGGACAATTTGTCCAACCCCTGTCAGGTTTTTTGCGGCTCACACCTGACAGAAGTCATCCAAATGATACCAACCCTTGGCATTTATCCTTGACACTAACCAAAAAACTATGTATAGATTCTGCTGGTTACGTTAACGCTGATGTGAGTGTCCACCAACTGAAAAGGGCACATGCTGTTGCTCATGCTGGCCCACGATGCCTCGGGGCTGGCCCGACTACAGTACCATAGTTTGGATTTCCTGTTGGTACTGATGGCGTAGTGGGACACACATGGTGTACGTGTTACAGCGTAGTTCTAGGTATACATGTATGTGCAGTAGATTAATAATTAATATAATTTATTCATTTATAAACCGCAAGTTTCATATAGATATGTTCAAATCGGCTGTACAATGAGGACATTAAGCGTGGAACAATGAATACATTTAAAACATGGTTGAGCCGATGGCATACAAGGGCGCCTCGGGCAGCCGCCAAACGACTCACATTCACCAACATCAGTAAAGGGGAGACAGTAAGAAGCAGTTACAGTTTTAGAGGTGGGAGGAAAACCCCAGAGGAATATTCTGGGTAAAACCCACGGAGTCAGGTAGGGACTGAAAACCCAATCCACATGTGGACCGGGCCGGGAATCGAACCCGGGACCACAGAGGTGGAAGGCGAGGAAAGAACTACCTTGCCAACCCGACTCCCATTCCAGCTACCTTGTGTACACTGTACTTGCGGGTACATGTGTACAATGTATGTACATGTATGTATATTTAGCGTACGTGGCCTTGTGGTAAATTGCATGCAGACCTACATGTACATGTAGTATTCAGTTTCTTTTCTGAGGCATTTTTTTTTTGTCAGCAAGATTACTTCCACGTTAATTTGAGTAGCTCAGATTTCTACAAGTCCATGTTGTCTGCATCTGATCAATTGCATGCATGCCACTTTGGGAGCCCACATATTACCGGTAGCAATTTTGAATGATCTTGTCCATGTGACACGGGAAGTGGCATCATATTGCACCAGGGCAGAAATTGGCTCTCATACACACCAGGAGGTCCATATGGCATGAACCAAGGGCCAGCTGTCGACTCTTACGTTTTCATGTCATGCAAATCGGGCATAATCATAGAGACATTTATTCAGTTATTCAAATTGAATATGCTTGTTGTATACATCAACTCTAATCTATTCTAGGCTTTTGGACTCAAGGTACGGTAGCTAAATGTACATGTATACTAGTACATTCATGTGCACACAAGTCTTTACGTACATGTATACCAGAACATCTGTTCAGGCTAAAAAAAAAAAAAACAGTTCTGCTTCTGATTACATTCCTCTCAAAAATAGGGTCGGTAGGTTGGAAAATATTTTTGGGGGGGGTGGGGTCCTTTTTATTGTACTGATTAAATGGCGCGAATGGGAATGAAAGCTACAATGGTAAAAACTTATCTTAATTAATCTACATGTATGTAAAAATTTCCACAGTCAACAGTTCTTAAGAATTACTGACAATTCAGACCCCCATGCACAATGCTAGTCAGGTAATTGCGACCTCAAACTGGCCAACAATGCCCGTGTATCGTGTGGTAAGCATGCATGATGCATCCAGACGAGCGGGCAGTAAACCTAGTGACGCGGCAGGAAATTTTGTGGAAACACGATCGCTTCAAGTACGAGCAAAACAACCTCAAATTCAACTCGGGAACACAGAAAATACATGCACATAGACAAGAGGCCAAGTTCTTTGCATTACTTACAGATATCTTCCAGCAACGTCAATGTTTTTTTTTATGATCAGCTGAAGGTTTGTGAGCGTGTACGGCCAGTACAGTGTAACAGCGCTATTTTGACAGGGATTCGTAGACTGGTTGCCACATTTCTGTCACACCTTCTTTTGCATGGGCGTGGCATGGCAGAAACAGCACAGCTGTTATGCACTGAGTTCTGCGCACGCGTTTTCACCACTGCGACAGCGAAATGTGAAGGGAACTCATGTAAATACCCGAAGTTTCTTTTCAAAATTTGCAAGTGTAAGTTGGAAAACATAAAGAAGAGCGCTTTAACATGAAGAAAAGGTTCCAAGGTATTTTGTAAAGACAGAAAGGACAACAGGATTTATTTATTTTTACAATTGTTTTGAAATTTGTGTTTCTAACTTTTAAGGTCATTTTAGGCAATTTTAGGGTCCTGCCGAAAAATTAGGGCCTGTTGGGAAACCATAAGCAAGAGCTTTTTTTTGGGGGGGGGTGCCCATACATGAAGCTGCCAGACAGTATGAAAGGCAAATTCCAAACTTATGGCTTACCGCCTGCATCTTCATGTGGTCGAAGATGATGTTGAGCATCTGGGTGAGGGTGGCCTTGGCCGTGGTCTGGTCGACCAGGTTCTTGCTGGCCAGGTACATGTACTGTAGATATACATGTGCTAGTAGCAGGTCTGCAACACCTGCAGGACCACATATGTATATAAGCCATACATTGTAAATACAGGCAGGCCTCTATTTTCAGAACTCTTACTATTGTAATCGCATCCCGTGAATTCTCACAATACCAGTAGCAGAGACTTCATCATCATGGTGGTTTTATTTTTAATTTGCATTAACCCTAACAGTCCTCAATCCTTCACCTGTTGGAAGACTGAGGACTGTTAGGGTTAATCTGGCATTAAGTGTGTATGCATGCATTCTCACTAGTCTTAATGAAATGGTAATTTGATCATTGAAACAAGTTTGGTGTTTCATCAGGCATGTTAGGATAATGAGGCATCCATTATTATGTACATGTAACAAGGAGACATTGGCAGGAAGTGTTCACAGCTAGATGCGGCCCGATGTGTCACTGACAGTGCACAAATGCATTAAAGCCACAAAGCCGTCCATGCAGTAACTATTGATCGTTGTGCGTCGCTGTTGTCCACAGCCCCGCTATGACGATGCGGTGAAGGACACCCATCTGGAGCATCGTGCTGCCTATTTTTCCTTGAGCTTTCTAATTAAGGACGCCGCCAGCTCGCCGGCATGCCCGGATGTGGAGACGTGCTGCTCTGTTGCAGTTCTGGAATGTGCAGGGAAACATGAAATGTCGGAGGTTGTGACAAGTGTCATTTTATATTGTTACAACCCCACCACACTTAAAGCATCTATGCAGATAACATGTGCACATGTACAGTGTTTTACCCCAAGGAATAGGTTTGTCAAGCAGGCTCCATCTCTTGTTCATGTCCAGGAAACACCAAACTGTCGGGACATTAAATTCCGAAAACCTTAATATGAACATGACAGTTTGGAATATGTAACACTGTATGCTTACACTTCCATTATGGTTTTATCTTGGCACAATCGGAAACATTCTCTGTAGCAACCATTTTGAAAATATTGCCTAGACCTCCATTTTACTCCTGAAGTAACAGCAAAATTTACACTGGCACTGCTGTCTAGCTGATATTAACCCTAACACCCAGGCCTTTTTGGCTAAGGACCTTCTTCAGTCCTCCAGAATCCTCCATTTTGGAGGGATGAAGAGATTGGATTCTCCCCCAATCCTTCGAAATCCTCTGGCAATTCCTGTCATTATGTTGAGGCAGTTTGAATAGCATTCTCGAGCAGTGCGGTTGATTCCAAAAGAAATATCAGGCTGACTTTATGCATGACTGAGCAGGAACAACCCAAGGTCTAACCCACGACCTTCCCTCGTGGCATCCTTCGCAATCAGCGTCTTACTTTTGCCATTCACCCTCAATCCTCCAAAACCGCCCAAAGGATTTTGGAGGATTGAGGAGGGTTACGGTTAAAGGTAAGATTCTGAAGGATTGATTTTTTCCTTGAGAAAACCCATAGCTCACAATGTATGTTTATTTTTGTTTTTTGTTTTTTACAGAAACTGATTGCCTATGGGCATCTGACCGGCGATGGCCCGGACAGCACCATGCCGGGCAAGAAGCTGATTGACCGCATCATTGAGACAATATGCGGCTGCTTCATCGGTACCCAGACAGACGAAGGGGTGCAACTCCAAATCATCAAGGTATGAGCTTCCCTCTGTGTAGGCCTGTATGTTTACGGGTATCAGGAGAACCGGGTATCCGACTGAAAAAATGATGGGTCCTGGCAAACCTCTTGAAGCAAACTGGTGTTCGATTTGTACACACTGCACTGAGAGAGTGAAATGGCAACTTGTATACAGAGATTGATTCATTCATTCTGTGATAAAACATAACCAATGTTTCACCCTAGAATAATTTCATTTAGTGAATTTGAATTTCCCATTCCTCTCAGCTTCACTTCATGGGACAGAACATTCAATCTGTCTCCTCATGAAATCATTGTTAACCCTAACAATCCTTAACCCTAAGTAAAGTGTTTAATTCTGTGGGGATGGGTCTGGTAGGCCCATAACAGCTGGCTTTTGCATTAGGTTTGGCATACCTCAGAAAAACAAAGTCCAACAGCCTCTGTGCACAACTTTGTGTGAATGGGGAAGGTTAGGGCCAGCAACCCTTGGGGGGTTAGGGTTAATCCTTCAATTTCAATATGATTTTACATACACCCTAAGGGGTTAGGATTCTTTAACATTCAGTACAATATGTATACATATACACCATGCGTCACCAGCAGAGAATGACAGAACTGGTAAAAACAAAGACAGACTCTGCCCAATTTCCCTCTCGATATATTTCCCACCAGGCGCTCCTGACAGCGGTCACCTCCCCGACCTGCGAGGTCCACGAGGGCACCCTCCTGCAGGTGTTGCGGACCTGCTACAACATCTACCTGGCCAGCAAGAACCTGGTCAACCAGACCACGGCCAAGGCCACCCTCACCCAGATGCTCAACGTCATCTTCAACCGCATGGAAATGCAGGCTGTAAGGGCTTCACTCTCTTCCTCCACCTAGTCATTCCTTTTAAAAAGGCTTTATAAAAGTTACATGCCACCATGCGTTTGCCTTAAAGGTGCAGTCCGTCATTTGCAGTTGTCTAAAATGTAACCCACAGATTTACTGTTGAAAACCATAGTTGGGTTAAAGATGGTTATTGGACAACATACCCTGTGAAATTATTCCTTGTGGCAAGCTGTCAGTTTGAAGGAAAAAAATGAGAAAAGGCCATTTCTGTTGATGCATCCAAAGACCCATGTTTGGGAACTTGCCATTAGAAGTGCACACAAGTGTTGACACAATTTTGTAATTTGTTGGTTCAGTGCATGACACCATATAGCTACATTCAACTGAATGTGTCCTAGACGCCGAAGGCTGGTGCAGTGCACGACATCACTCGGCAATTTTTGGTCTAAAATCAAAATCCTAGAACATTGCCTTTCTGAGAATGTGCAGTATTCACTGAGTTGAAGCTCCATCAGGTTCGTTCTTTGGTACCCTTCTTTAGATTTTGAGTAAATTTGGTTTTCTTAAGGAACATAGTACACAAAGGACACATGATGGACTACACCTTTAAGCAGTTAACTCAGGAGGATGTGAAACATAGTATAGTCATCCCGGCCAGTTTGAATTTCACAGATCCTAATCGCAATCAGTGATCCGACACTGTTCACTGACACCAGAGGCCTAGTGGATGGAGCAAACCAGCGTTGGGATCACTGATTGAGCTCAGTTGTGGAAGAAAATATCATGCCCTAGGCACAGGCATTTAATTTAAACAGGCCTCATTTCCACTTCATAGTCGGCTTTTTATGTCGTCCTGCAGTGAACTCTCCATTGTTTGGTGTTATAATGCGGTAGCTTAATATAAACGCATGTGGAAACTTTTGAAATAATCCTTTGTTTCTTGAAAAAAATTCAAAGTTATTTAGAAATCAGTTTAAGACTGTTCCGTATTTTTTCACCCTTTTCCGTCCTGTGTAACAGTTTCTACAAACAGATGGTAACTTTTTACCTTTTTTACCTTTTGTCCTTTTCATCAATGGAATCATTTCTCCTGGCTAAAAAACAACGTTAAAATATCTTGACTCCTCTCTTTCTGGTCTCTCTTCATGGATGCCCAACCTCTCAAGTCCCAGTTAGTTGTCACTGTTCTGTGCACTGAGTCATGCTCAGTAAGGTTCATGAGTCAATTTTTCGTAGGTTACATATTTCATAGCACACCCAAATCGATTCTCAAACATGGGAGTCACCCAAGCCTCTTCAGATACATCCTCCCCAATAGGGGATACAGATACATAGCCATTGTCTGAACTGGGCTTGGCTTTGGCTGGAAGGATACACGTGTCCATGGGAAATGAAATTAAGCGGCTACCTTACGGCTTGCAGAAGTATGGGAGGGGTTGAATATATTCAAATAAAGGTATAATCAAGTACTTTGAACGTAGCCGTAGCCAAAAGCAAGTTTCTCCCTGTGACTGTAGGTCGCTGATGCCAAGTTGAAAGCGGAGGGGGAGACCGAAGCCAGACGGCAGAGCAAAGATTCCGGCTCACTGCAAGAGGACCCCGAGAAAGCCTCGGCGGTTACATGTATTACCAATGGAGAAAACGGGGATGGTCCTGGCAGAACACCAGATGGGCCATCACCAACATTACCAGGTAGATATTTGATGACTTGCTGACCACGTGACCCGATGTATGTCTGGAATTATCCCAGGCAGTACAATATTTCAGGCAAGCCTTTAAAACGATGGTACTTGACAAAAAGTCGAGAAAATCGCAGAGCAAGTTCTCAGTGCTGGATTGAAATGATAACAACCCTGGCCGGCGGCAGATGTGGTGACCCTTAATCCTAACCCCAGGTCCTTCTTACAATTGTTACTTGGAGGGATGATCACTGCCCCAGTCCTTCGACTTCCTCTAGCAATTTTTGTCATTATGTTGAGGCAGTGCAAATGGTGTGCTGAAGCCGTGTGGATGATTTCTTGTATAATCTTGGCTTAAATTTGAGCATAAGCAGAGAGTGTAACCCAAGACCGCGGCACGGTTCATCCTTTGCAATCAGCAATGCAAGTTTGCCGTACAGCTTGAATCCTTCAAAACCGCCAATATTTGGATTATTGAGGATGGTTAGGGTTAATGCTGTCTAATATTAACCCTAACCCCCTAGGCCTTTTTTACTAGGAACCATCCTCAATCCTCCAAAATCCTACAAAATTTCTGGAAAATGTTACTTTCGGGTGCGCCCACTACCTCAATCTTTCAAAATCCTGCAGCAATTCCTGTCGTCATGTTGAGGCACTGCAAATGGCATTCTTGAGTTATGCGGTCGATTCAAAAGAAATATCAGGCTGAATTTGTTCTCGACTAAGCAAAGATAACACAAGGTCTAACCCATGACCATCACGCATGGCGTCCTTCGTAATCAGCGGTGCACTTTTGCCACTCACCCTCAATCCTCCAAAAGCCTCCAAAGAGACCTGAAGGATTTTTGAGGAGGGTAAGGGTTGAAGGGTTCGGGGTATTTTGCTGAAAAATAAGCCACTCTTTCCAATATTCACTGTAGAACATATGGTTAGTAACCGCAGCTAGCCTAAGTACTGCAGTGGTTGGCTGAAACATTAGTAAAAATGATTAAAAAAATACATGGATTGCCCATTAGGGCTACTCTCACAGTAGGAATTGAGTGAAGAATTTCTTGATATTATACGTGAACAAGATTCATGGGTTTCTGGTTTCTTTTCTGTCATATTCAGAAAATTCCGTTGCCGATCCCAGCAGTAGTGGTCGTATTGAGAGTGCAGAGAATGGCCCGCTCAGTGCAAACGGTAGGCACCTCTGTCAAAGACAAGAATATGAGCAATCCATGCAAATGTTACATTGGTCCTCAACCCATGCAGCCTTGTTGTGGCTGTCATTGGGTTCACAAATGCCATGATTTTTGGAGCCACTGAAGTTGACGCTACAGCCATCGGGCATTTGATGTTGCATTGCTTCGTGGGCATGTTGCATTCCTGCTGTCATCAGCTTGTCTTTTACTCTCTGAAATCTTATCTGAGTAAAAAAAATGAAACGATCTATTCACACAATGAGGCCTTAACTTAACATTCACCGGTGTCATTTTTTTTTTTTTTTGAGTGATAGCTGCTAACCTCTACCATTTACATGTATTCTTAATAGAAGGGGACGTTCAAGGTATTGTCACCTCCATCCTGGGCGACATCATCACTGAAGTCTCCTTAGGGGACTCCCCTAACGATGCAGAAGGTGCTCCAGTCAAAGCCTCACAGCCCCAACCCACCAATTCCACAGCAGCGGCAGTGGCCACGCCCGTGACCACACCCACGGCCGCGCCCGCTGCCACGCCCTCTCCAGTGCCAACCCTGCCTCCTATTGGGGAGGATGGGGATGCCGAAGCGGAGGCGGAGGAGCCCTTCTCCCACATCCTCCAGAAGGACGCATTCCTGGTGTTCCGTTCTCTCTGCAAGCTCTCCATGAAACCACTGCCTGATGGACCAGCAGATCCCAAGTAGGGATGCTATCAATGCCAGTCTCTTATGATAGTTTCTTTGCTGATGTACATGATTTTACATGTTTCTGTATTTGGTGTGTAGGTATGAGCTCAGCAGGTACAATGTTAATCATTCCTGTTACTGATAGACACTGTAGTGCTATTTCATTTATATGTATTTACGTTCATGCATGAAGATTGATTTTGTGCACATAAAGTTGAAATTTAGACAAACCGGTTCGCATAACCTATGTGTCTTAGTTAGTTACTGAGTACTTTGTAAAGTTGGTCATTGGCACAATGTCGTGGGTTTCAGACATTAGTAATTGAGTATTCTAGTACCTTGTCCAATGCACTGCCCTAGAGTTATGCCCCGATCACAGTAATAAAAGATTGAGAGAATATTTTGATGTCAAAGCTACCTCCTCCCAATTACCTTGGCAACTTTTCTGTTTGATCTCGCAGGTCGCACGAGCTGCGTTCCAAGGTCCTCTCCCTCCACCTGCTCCTGTCGGTACTGCAGAGTGCCGGCCCTGTGTTCCGCACCAACGACATGTTCATCACGGCCATCAAGCAGTACCTGTGCGTAGCGCTGTCCAAGAACGGCGTCTCGGCCGTGCCGGAGGTCTTCGAGCTCTCCCTGGCCATCTTCCTGACGCTCCTCAGCCTCTTCAAGACTCACCTCAAGATGCAGATTGAGGTTGGTGTGTGCCACCTTTAGCACTGGGGGATATATAAGGATTACAAAATTTCTGAGGGGGTACCCAGGGTCCCAACTTTTGTTTCCAAGGGGGTATTGAAAGGAAATTAAGTGTGGCTCATACTTGGTCCTATACATGTTCCAAATTGTAAATGGGGGCACCCAGAGTGGAGTAATGGACTTCCAGGGGGGTGGGCGTGTACCCCCCTCCCCCATACTTGTGCCACTTGCCTTGACTTCCTTTTGGCAGACCCTACGACACCAGCTTCCCCTCCTCAAACATGTCCTCCCAACCAAGCCAGGACCAGTTATTTTTCTTCTTCTTTTGAGATCAGGTTTTCTTCAAGGAGATTTTCCTCAACATTCTGGAGACGCCCACCAGTTCCTTTGAGCAGAAGTGGATGGTGGTCCAAGCTCTGACGAGGATATGTGCAGGTATGGGACAGAACAATTTGCAGTACCTCTGAACTGCTGACCATGATCCAGATGCACATCTGATGTACGCTTTCACATGTCCTAACCGTACATCAAAACAGTGCATTTTAAGCTTTAGCACTGTTAACTATTTTTCAGTGCCATTGACCACATTGTGGCTGTTGGAAAGTTCAAAATAACCTCAAAATCCGAATGCAGTGTGGTCTGCCTTTAAAAATTGGGGGGGATTTATTCACCTGTCTAGTGTAACGCCAGAAAATTCATGCCTGAGTAGGGCTGCTTTTGAGCATGTTACTGGCTGTTAACTTGAGTACACTCGTTTGTGAGTTGACAAACCGCAGAGTAAAGAGAGTAACTTTCACAATCATAGCCTTTGTGCCCTTGCCAAAAGCCCGGTCTGTGGCCCAGACAGAAGGAAACATTTTTACAAAGTCGATGTTTTTTTGTGCTGCCAGATGCCCAGTGCGTGGTCGACATCTACCTCAACTACGACTGCGACCTGTCCAGTGCCAACATCTTCGAGCGGCTGGTGGGCGACCTGTCCAAGATCGCCCAGGGCCGGCACGCCATGGACCTGGGCGCCACGCCCCAGCAGGAGAAGCGCATGCGCATCAAGGGTCTGCACTGCCTGGTCTCCATCCTCAAATGCATGGTGGAGTGGAGCAAGGATCTCTACATCAACCCTAACATACAGACCAACCTTGGTAAGGGCAAATATTGTATTGAGTTTATTTCCATGAGTACGAGTACATCTACATGAGTAGGAGTACACAAATTATGTGTGCAAGTGTGAGTAAGAGTACTTCTGTATGAGTGTGAGTACATACACATGTGGTTTTATGAGTACGAATATTTCTTTCTACATAATGATTATATAGAATTTTGTACGAGTACAAATACAGTATTATGAGAATGAGTACTTCATAAGTACAAGTACATGGAAATGTTTCTTGCGAATACGAGTACAAGTATGAATACAAGAACTACACCACTGGTTACTGCTGCTTTGGGTGCACTGTAAGTCTCGCTCTAAGTTGACCTCATGCCAGTGTCGCAATGAGTGAACTGTGCAATTTGATATGAATCATTTTGAAGAGAGTGACGCAAGTCCGATTGAGTCATCATGCCAAGGAAGCTCAGTTGCGTCCTTTGCCCACAGTAACTAGAGTCAGCTAGTCGCCAATTTGGACCAGAGTGGAATGGCTGAAAGTTTGGACCGAAGGTTACTCAATTAGATGAAAATGTGTCCTGCTACACATCTGATTTGGTGTGCCAAAATTGGCCAACTGTAGGCAATGGAACGTATTCTGTATGCAGGTCAAGAAAAGGCTGTCGGGGGTGACCAAGCAGATGCAGACAGCGGCCAGGGCACCATGACCAGCTCGGGCAGCCAGGGGTCACTCAACTCCACCCACTCGAGCTCCACCTCTAACCTGCCGTCGCAGGCCACGCCCATCGACAGCCCCGAGATGTTTGAGAGCCAGAAACAGCAGAAGGAGATAATGGAGCAGGGCATTGAAATGTACGTTGATGTAACGACTTGAAAAAAGACTAACCCGGTTTAGTACCGTGTGTCTACTGGTATGGATAAAACTACACGTGTTTACTAGATCTGGCGAAATGAGTCTCACGGCAACCTTTTCAGTAATTTTGTTCAAATTTGCATGACAAAGAATAAACAGGGCTCTCTTTTTTGATGTATGACTCAGTTTTCTCCTGCTGATAAAAATTTACTCTGTGTGGGTAAAACAGGTGGAGGCTTCGATTGGTCTGCCATTTGCAAGATTATTTTAAAGGTCTTTAACTTTTGCATTTGTGGGTCGACATAGTCACGGAAAGGCCGTTATCCTAAAAGGACCTTGAAAATTACTCTTGCTTACATGTAGATTATTTTTGGCCGAAACATCAAATTTTAGAAAAAAGACAAAGTCCAGCTGCTGATATTTGAAAATGAAGTCAGGCACCACAAACACTGACCATGGACGGACGCTTGTACGCTATTTTGTGGCACTTGGAGGCCCGACCATGGAGCCCTAATTGCTACAGTAATTTGGCATCTGAGTTTAACACGTGGTCCACCTGCACAGACTTTCCTTATCTGTGGGATGTGCGACCTATGTGGTGAAAGAGCGTATATCTTGTAGAAGATTTTGTACATCTTAGGTTTTGAAACTGGTTCCTCTCGTCAAATTCTCCCCAGGTTCAATAAGAAGCCCATGAAGGGCATCGCTTTCCTGCAAGAGCACGGCATTCTGGGTAAGAGACCAGAAGACATTGCGGAATTCTTCCACAAGGACGATCGCTTGAATACCACGGTGCTGGGAGACTTCATGGGAGAAAATGAAAAGTAATGAAAGTGAAACCTTTTACACACATTTATAAAATTCATTTGAGTGCTATTTATAAATCTAGAATAGAACTTGTTGGTGGCCGTTCAAAGCTGCAAAAATGAGTAAAGCCCCGAGCTGGTTCCCAGTTCCTAGACTGGAATGTGCGGAGGGAACCAGTGTCAATCGCCTCAATCCCCAAGAAACTCCTCACACAAGTCTATGGTTCATGGAGTGGTAATATGGAAGACGCTGGCTTCATGTCTAACGGCCAGTGGCATTTTTAAGCAGGTCCTCATTCTTGAAGGTCAGTGGGTTTCACAGAGATGAGATCATTTTGTGTCTTCATGTCACCACAGGTTACTTGTTCCCTGAGAGTGAGATTATGAAATGTTGCTGAACAATTACACCGCTCTATGAAAACAGACCACTTGCTTACACTGGTTCCCATTCACTAGTTTACTACTTATATTGTGTATTATATAGTTGACTTGTTTTTCATCAGAATGGGCAAAATCCCTTGGAGCCCCAAACAACACAATCAGAACAAGAAATCTCAACTGGAACTAACGTTTTCCCTATAGATTCGATTCTGAACTGTAAAGCAAATTGAATTCTGTTCATGAGCGACAACATTCTCTGTATTTTGCACAGAGGGTGACGTACGTTTTGTTATTTTGCTTCCATTTTTCCCCCTAATTGTCAAGGTTCAACAAAGAAGTGATGTACGCGTACGTGGACCAAATGGACTTCTCAGACAAGGATTTTGTCACGGCCCTGCGCTCGTTCCTGGAGGGCTTTCGACTGCCCGGTGAGGCCCAGAAGATCGACCGCATGATGGAGAAGTTTGCCAGTCGCTACGTGGACACCAACATCAAGCAGACCATCTTTGCCAGCGCGGACGTGGCTTATGTCCTGGCCTACTCCATCATACTGTTGACAACAGACTTGCACAGTTCACAGGTGGGTCTACATTTAACTGTTGGCAATACTAAAGAAATCTCCACCAACACTACGAAGTAGCACTCAACTACACTTACCTGCTACTTCGTGAAAACCGTGCTTACAGCAATTTCGCTTTCACAAAGTAGCACTCAAGTATGCACGCGCACATCGTACACTGATGCATAATCGAACGATTTTCGTTTTTACGAAGTAGCACTCATGTGTGTTTTGTCATTGTAGCATGGATAAAAACACTTTGAAAGGTGTAACATGATTTGATTCACCCGTAAATACGTGACTTAACTGACAGATGCTTCTTAAAACCGTTTTAACTGTTTAAATTAAGGAAAAGGTCAATTCCTGAAAACGACAATTCACGCAGCACGTGCCGCACGGCACCGAGTGCTGCTTTGTGAAGATGAATATAATGCATTTCTGTAAAATACGCTCTGAAGCGGCGCACACATCTATGGATGAGTACTACAGTACTTCGTGGTGTTGATACGCAAAATGATGCCCGTTCCAGCCAATAATTACTAGCAGGACTATAGTCTATCTGCTTTGCTTTATCTTTAGGCAAGTTCAGTCAAGGACCACTAGTTTACTAGTGGGCATGAACAGTGAAGTTGCAGTGCGAACGACCCTCGTCAACCGTTGTCAGGTCGTTAGGCCGAAGGGGAGAGAAAGTAGCCGCAGGAAGGGAAAAATAGCAAAATTAAAACTGAAAATGGTCGTTTACTAGTGACGTACTGTTTTCCCAGCATTTTTCTTACAAGTGGTCCTCTGCACTGTGCCACTAAACACAGTTTATGGCAACCAACGACGCGACCAACCTCGGTATGCTGGTCACGAATAGTTGACTTGTCTAATCCAATCATCGTCGACTAACGTGCATTCAATCAGATATAGTCAAACTATGGTTAACTATGGTCCTTGATCAAACTTGCCCGTTATTTTTGCTGTGAAGTCGTAGCTGTCCTTACAATCAAAACGAGTGTTCTTTTCATTGGATTGTTGCTAATAACCTCCATTTCTTCAATTTTTATTTTTTGTTGTACGTGTGTACATTGTGCCAGTTTCTGTCATCATTTATATTCATTGATATTGTGATAAAAAACCTTTTATTTCTAGACTTTAAAGTCAATTTAAATGACATCTGGGCAGCGACCCAGTCAGACAGGCCAGTTAATAACACTCCAACTCAGAACAAAAGCTGTAAATTACAAGCTATTATTAATGGTCATTTGTGGTGATGACACCAAGCATTCCTCTAAAGCGCACTGCAGCTCGCAAGCCTGAAGAAACCTGTAGAGAGGAGACAATGAGAAGCCGTTACGGTTTTAGAGGTGGGAAGAAAACCCTAAGAGGAATATTTTGGGTAAAACCCAAGGAATCAGGTAGGGACTGAAAACCCAATCCACATGTGGACCAGGCCGGGATTCGAACCCTGACCGCAGAGGTGGAAGGCAAGGAAAGGACTACTGTGCCAACCTGACTCCCTATTCATTACTCTTTAAACAATGAACACTGAAATAGGGATGCAGAAATTGTCCACACCCATCCTCGAGAAGTTCTAAAAATTAAATCTTAGCAAACTGTTCCTTTTTGTGACATCTAAAGTTTAGCCAAACGTGTGACCTTATGCTTTGACCTTTCACCTTTGACCCTCAGGTCAAGCACAAGATATCCAAGGATGACTACATCCGGATGAATCGGGGCATCAACGACAGCAAGGACCTTCCGCCTGAGTACCTATCGGAGATCTACGATGAGATCGCAGGCAACGAGATCAAGATGAAAGCCACGGCCAGCAACAAGGTGGTCACCGCAACAAGTAGGTCCAGTCTTGAGTTTTTTTTTTTTCCCCAGGACTTTCGGCAGCGGAGTTTTCGGGGGGCACCGTCCGTGCGGTACACGCGCAAACCATCGTGGGCTTACAGGTCGAGCTCGGGCAGTCCATTCCCGTGCGTGAACCGTGGGAACATGACCCCAGAATGCTGTTCTCGGACACAGGATCACATGCCAAGTCCTCGTCAGGGATTTGCGCAGAGACACAGAAAAATGTGCGGGATTTTGATTTTTGAAGAGAAAAAAAATGAGATGGCTGACCAAGCTGGAGAGGATGGAAAAGTTTTGTACAATTGGCATTAATAAAATTTCATTTCATACTACAGAAATGAATGTTCCGTTTTAAATAGGAGAGCATGCTGACTAGAAATCCAAACCTTTACCCTTCATTAATGTGCATGGACGCCACCATGCTTCACGTTGCATGTCACTAACTACCAGCGATAACCGACTGTATGTTCCTGGCATTTGAGCAGCTGACATAAGAACAGCAAATCGAGCTGTTCTTGAATATGCAAGAATGCGTCGCCCGGACTTACCAACAGTATGCCATCATCAGTGTTTTATTTGAGTCCATCACAGGTCCTTCACAAGTCCAGTCGCAAGTCCTTTCACAAGTCCAGTCGCAAGTCCTTTCACAAGGCCAGTCGCAAGTCCTTTCACGAGGCCAATCACAAGTCCTTTCACAAGTCCTTTCACAAGTCCCTTCACAAGTCCAGTCGCAAGTCCAGTCGCAAGTCCTTTCACAAGTCCTTTCACAAGGCCAGTCGCAAGTCCTTTCACAAGGCCAGTGGTAGGCATGAGGGTGAACCATAACAAAAGAATACTTTTGTCACAGCTCACTGGAATAGCTTGTGAATTGGCCTAAGACTGAATGACTTGTGATGGACTTACAGGGACTTGTGATGGACTTGAATAAAACACTGGTCATCACACGCTAGAGGTTGATGAGGTGTCCTACTGTTGATGTCCCCCTTAAAAATGGTGCAGGCAATTTCTATCTATTGCTATAATGAAATGTCAGCCAATGGCATTTATAACTTAGATGGTTTTTAAACAGGACATTCTTTGCAAGGGGGCGCTTTTCATGTCAGGTTTTTTGCTTTGGGCAATTCAGAGATCCGCCCCAGTAAACACAAGCGCACAACAGCGTTTGGCCTAACGTATCTCCGTGGGGTAATCATTCAAAACGCGTGTTGTGTTTCTGACGCAGATGTGACCAGCGAGAAGCAGCGGAGATTGCTGTACAACATGGAGATGGAGGCCCTGTCCAACACGGCCAAGGTGCTGATGGAGAGCGTTAGTCATGTCATGACCAGCTTCACCAGCGCCACACACCACGAGCACGTCAGGCCCATGTTCAAAGTGAGTCACCGATAGCACACAAACTGTCCCACGAGCGTTCATTCGGTAGCAAACAATGGCGTGCACCTTCATGATGCGCTATAAAGATGGAATACGGATGCCGTACACGAAACCAGATGTCATTTATTAGACAATTCACCTAGTATTGAAATTTTCAACATTTTTGATTCATGTTTTATAATAGAGGTTTGAGGTAGCGCCATGCAAGGATATCCCTTATTCTGAGCATGTGTGGTTCTGAAAAGAACTGGAGGCTATTCTTTTCTGAAAAAAAAAACGGAGGGAACCACGCATGCTCAGAAAGAGATATCCTTCAGTGGTGCAACTGTGAACCTCTATAACTAACTTGCTACCTCCACCATGAAACGCTTCAAAGCTCATCTTAGATCCAAGCGATCATTCTTAAATTGGACATGCAGTGTTGGAGCGCAGAGGGGGGAATTGTATCAGATGGGTGTCTGAATGCACATAACGATGCACAATCAACGCAGATGCGGTTTTATAGCTCCTTGCCTGCCGTGAATTCTACTGTCTGTGTTATGGACCCCGCGGTATAGTATAATTCTACTCTGTTGATGCCGTGGATTGACCAATCAGGATCCAGAATGAAGGCTTGCTTGAAGATAAGGGTCGGTATACAAGAAAGAAAGGAGGTAGATTGCTGGCTTTTGGTGCAGGCAAGGTTCCAGAGCATGTTCAAGGTCGATGTTTTTTAACCCCAGATTTCACCCTTGGCTCATCGACGGTCATTTGATCACACAGTCAAGCAGCAGGTTGGAATTTTGACTGGAGATGGTCGTGTGTACAAGACAAGAAAAAAACACTCGTTTGAATTTAATCAGTTTTAAAAAGTAGAATTTCAAAAAATGGGGGAAAAAATGAACAGTGTACCTAGTACTCGGAATTAGATCATGGGTTTGTATCAGAAGGTTATATTCATTGTTTGAATAAAAACATGAGGTTGTGCTTGAGTTTCTAGGCTTGGTCCGGTAAGCAGAAACACAACTATCATTTCGTTTGACACAGGCTTTTTCATGTTTTCCTTCACGCCAAGGACAGACAGGCCTTTAGTAATTCAGACACGGCTTGCCCTCCTCCTTTCCAGGTCGCCTGGACGCCGTTCCTTGCCGCCTTCAGCGTAGGCCTACAGGACTGCGACGACCCAGAGATCGCTACCCACTGTCTGGACGGCATCCGCTGCGCCGTGCGCATCGCCTGCATCTTCCGGCTGGAGATGGAGCGAGATGCCTACATCCAGGCACTCTGCCGCTTCACCCTGCTGACGGCCAACTCCTCCATCACCGAGATGAAGGCCAAGAACATCGACACCATCAAGACGCTCATCACGGTGGCCCACACGGATGGCAACTACTTGGGCAGGGCGTGGCTAGAGGTAGGTGCCCCGGGTAGAATTTTCCAAAAGCGGCATAGCCACTAGCCTCCAAGATACTACAGTGTTTTTCTCTCTTTAAATTTTCTATTTTTTTTTATTTTCAAAGTTGTTGTTATAGCCAGTAATAGTTTTACATGTACTATTGAACTTAAGTAACACAGTCATGAATGAAATTTTTTGAAAAGGCAGTTCTTGTGTGACATTTTGTCTGTAAGGCAGTACGGGTGAAAAAAGCCAGTCCAAGTCATCAGAAAAAAAGGAGGGTACACTAAATATTGGACCGTTCATATTTCAAATCATGGAAATGTAGTCAAATAGCTGTTAACCAAGATACTAAGGTTGCACATTGTAAATGAACGTAAGTTGCCATGAGCGATTGGTTTAAGTTTGGTTTTCCTTCAGGTTAATGCATTTTGTGTGGGTGGTCCCAAACTTTTGCAAATGACTGTAGTATTACACAGTTTAACACCAACATGAAATGCAAGGTCCCACTGCTTAAAAGCGTTATGAAATTGTTGCCGTTTCCTCTGACTGATTAGGGCCTACAGAACACTGAATCTGACCCAATAAGTGCCCACTGACCACTTCACGTTAGGATTATTTCTAGCCATTTTCAGTTGCCAAAAAATGACTTTGTGGGTGGTCCCAAACTTTTGCAAATGACTGTAGTATTACACAGTTTAACACCAACATGAAATGCAAGGTCCCACTGCTTAAAAGCGTTATGAAATTGTTGCCATTTCCTCTGACTGATTAGGGCCTACAGAACACCGAATCTGACCCGATACGTGCCCACTGACCACTTCACGTTAGGATTATTTCTAGCCATTTTCAGTTGCCAAAAAATGACTTTGCAAAAGGCAGGAGACATAGTCAACAAATTTTAAGATGAAGATAAGCACAGGAAATACTAACACTTGGGCTGCATCCGAATCTGTTGACTAGAGCTAGGGCTAGGTCTTCGCTCCATTGGAAATGTGTGGAGACCAATAGACCTAGCCGTAGCTCTGGAAGCCCGTTTCAGACATGGGCAGGTACTTGGTACAGTTTTAATTACTCATATAGATGTCTTTACATGCCAAGTTTCACAGTGATTAGGCTGAGTCAATTTGACTAATTAATTAACTATTCGAATATTCGACCTTCAATTCGGTCGAATATCCAAATATGCAGTTGATTGATTGATTGTTGATGAACAAATCATACACAAAATCAGTTGCAATAACGCACACAATTGTACATTATAAATTATATTATAGTTTCTCACATCTAGGAGTATCTCCAGCCGCGATTTAGCAAGATTTAAGAGATGAACAATAGGAATACTTCTTGCCCTGTTGAAAATTTCTACTCCTTTTAAATTGTTTAATGAATAATTTACTCTTTGAATCGTAAGATTTCTGTCGCTTTTCATTTGAATCTGCTTGAAACCAGCCTCCAAAGTGCAAGTTTTCTCATTTAAAACAAAAGAAAATTTGCCTACCTTAATCGATAATCGATCGGATATTCAGATTTTCGGCATAGCCCTACACAATGATCAGTCACTGGACAGCCAAGATCTTGGGAAGGGGGCGGGTCTCACCTATCCCCCTTCTCCCTGGCTGCAAGAAGACGACAAAGCCCAGGCCCGTCCTATTAAACACTGAAGGCATGAAGGGTGTGAAATACATATGTATCACTGGCCTGAGCCCGTTGTTCGTTCCTGCCGTCACCAGATCCTGAAGTGCATATCTCAGCTGGAATTGGCTCAGCTCATCGGCACGGGGGTCAAGAGGAAATTCATCGCCGGCACGGGCAGCGGCTCAGCCGGAGGTCACAGGAGTTCCGGACATCACAACGACCTGTTGGAATCTGGAGATGGTAAGCACTTCAGCTGCACTTAAGAGCTGGTCATAAGAGGTCTTATAATGGTCTTAAAAGGTCTTAACTACAGCACTGCACTAAGTCTACAAGTTGTAAGCAGTGCCATCAACATCCCTTCCCTACTCTGTGCATACCAACTCATTGACTGTAGTCTTGTATTTTAGACAGTTTGATTGGAAGAATGGATTTGAGGTCTCAGCTTCAGTCTGTGGCCTTTTCTGTTCCGATGTCACTCACCAGGATTCCTGTTCTCGTTTATCACAGTGACCAGGGTTCACATGGACCAGAAGAAGATGGCCAGCCTGCAGGAAGCAATGGGGGAGACCTCCTCGCAGGGCATTGTGGTCGCCGTGGATCGGATATTCACCGGCTCCACCCGACTGGACGGTGACGCAATAGGTAAATGACGACGTTAACATCCAGCTACCCAGTACCCGCCTATGGTGTCTGCTCTGTTGATGTCAGAGTCGTGTTTTTCCCACATGTGGCCGCTAAAACTATGGTTGGCCGTTAGTTCAAAAGTAACAAGAATAATTGAAGTGTGAAAAGTCCCTCGCAACTATCAGAATACTAGGTGATAATACACCAAATACTGAATGAAAATGCAACTCTATTTAAGTCTAAAAATGTCCGTATTGAACGAATTTGAGGTCAAATCAAAAACCAATAGATAGATTTCACATTAGCACCATCTGCGCATATCCGCATGGAAATCGAGGCTCCCTGTGTTGAACTTCGTCGCGCGCGCCCGCGGAGTCCACACAGTACGTGCAGTATCCGGTTCATAAGTGTGGCACCACTTCAGTTTAAACCATGCCCACTGCACAAGATAAACGACCATCGCAGGTACGTTAGTTCGAGGTAAATTGCCATTATATTTTATTTTGATTTCATGTGTCGAGTCATCCTGAAAGACTCTTCCACAAAAATTTGCAGCCTGAAAAGTCTGAATTTAGCATACCTTTGTGTATTTTGTGTCTTGACTCCTTATTTGAATCGCTTGATCGAATTAATAATTGAAGCTGACATACAGCTTCGTTTTCAAATGTGGAAGTGCGCAGATTGAGGCTAAAAGTGTCGTATTGGGATCCTTCTATTAAACGGTGATATTTCTGCAAACTCTATCTGCCCATACAAGTCGTGGGCAAAGTCAGAGTGGTCTAGTGACAGAACCCTGGCTGCGCCGCTGTTGAAACACTCACACAACGCACCTTTCCCCTTTTGCAGTTGACTTTGTGCAGGCCCTGTGCCAAGTGTCGGTGGACGAGCTCCAGGCCACCAACACCTGCCGCATGTTCAGCCTGACCAAGATCGTGGAGATCTCCTACTACAACATGGGCCGGGTCCGCGTCCAGTGGTCACGCATCTGGAGCATACTCGGCGACCACTTCAACAAGGTGAGTGCGTCCAACTTTAATACGAAGATTGCCCAAGTGGTAAACAGAAACGTTTGCCCGTCCCAGTAATTGTCGTGCCCTAACATTGGGCACTTTCACAATTTTTTTCTGTTCATCAACATGCCCGGGCAATGGTTGTGTTCCAAATTTCTCAAGGGAATTTCAAATATTGCTGTTCATGGTCCATGAGTTTGACTTTTGCTCTGAATTCCAAGACGCATTTTCCATTGGAGTTCAAAGCTGGACATGAAAGAACTTTGGCGACACCACTTCAAGAAAAGCCAGGAATCAGTCGAAGTGCATTAATTGATTATGTTTGTTTTTGAATAATTGCATTTTTTGCTACGGCCATTACATCACAAAGAGCTTTTCCTTTATTGTCAAATTCTGGAGTGGATTTTGGGTTTTGAAGCAGAGCTAAATGCACCACTGTCATTGTAGCTGTGCTTGATGGATAGCGCTCTGACGTTCTAACATAACTGCAAAAACTACCAATTCTCGACGCAGGTGGGATGCAATCCCAAGGAGGACGTGGCCTTCTTTGCCATCGACTCGCTCCGCCAGCTGTCCATGAAGTTTCTGGAGAAAGGAGAGCTGCCCAACTTCAAGTTCCAGAAGGAGTTCCTGCGGCCGTTTGAGTACATCATGAAGAAGAACAAGTCAGTCGCTCTCCTCCCCGTCCGCCGTTTCTCCCGGCTTGGCTTTGTTTTTCTCCCCATGCCCTTCCTCATTTTGAGCACTGATTTTTTTTTTCCCCCTCTCCATGGGATCGCAACGTTCGCCTTGCATTTCGTTAATTCCCGTCTCTTGCCTTTCAGTTCCGTTCTTTTTTACTTCTTTTTCTCTTTGTTTTACATGGTTCCTTGCGTTTCGGATGGGGTAAGAAGTTTTGTTTAAAAAAAAGCCAATATGGTTGCCTCCTCTCAAAGTTTAAAAGGAATGTTTATTGCTGCGGAATTCCATGTTATATTGTAGTTCACTTGTTTCCTTTCTCCGATGATAAACTTTATAAAGATGGACTTTTGACCATTAGTTGTCATAACCTGAGACGTCTGGGGCCAATTTCATAGAGCTGCTTAAGCACAAAATTTGCTTAAGTACGAGAAAATCTTGCTTGATAAATCAGGTAACCAGCCAAAACTCCTTGCGATATATATTGTTTTGGGATCGTATTTAGCTGTCTTTTGGTTAGCATGACAGTCAGATAGAGTTTGAGCTGGTACCCTTTGTTTTTTTTTTAAGCAAGGTTTTCACGCTTAAGCAACTTTTGTGTTTAAGTGTCTCTATGAAATTGGTCCCTGGCTGTAGCTTTTTAGGTATCACATTTCTTTGAGAATCGCTCCTTTAGTCCTCTTTTTGTGGTGCGCTTTCATGTCTGGCGGCAAAAGTTTGCTTTTAACTTGAAATGATTGAAACTTGTGGGACAGATGCCGCAAAGTAGTTGAAGCCACAGTTTGTTCATTTTGCATCACCTGTGTTGTCTGCTCTCCTAGATCGCCCACCATCAGGGACATGGTGGTGCGCTGCATAGCCCAGATGGTCAACTCACAGGCCATCAACATCCGCTCCGGCTGGAAGAATGTCTTCTCCGTCTTCCACCTGGCTGCGGCCGACCACGAAGAAGGGATCGTGGAACTGGCTTTCCAGACGACCGGCAACATCATCAGTAAGTGTGCTCAGTGACAAGGCTTTTTCACCAAGTTACAAAACTTCACAAAACAGATTGGAAAAGTTCGAAATGAGTCGCCACCAAACCAGGAGAAGGGCAAAAAATTTTACGTTTCAGTCTCAGCAATCTGTAAATTGTCTACATGTTAGTCACACTGAAAATGTAGCATTTTAGAAGCAGCTCTAACTTTCGTTATTGGTTTTCGATATGTGCAGTGGAGAGCGCCATATTTGCATATTCACCTTGATATTGCATGCCTTCGTAACATAGCCTACTGGGACTTGATTTTTGAGGCAGCTTGACTTCGTCATGCATGGCATTCCAATTCTCGCTTTTCCCTTCAGGCAACGTCTTTGAGAAGTATTTTGGCGCCATCCTGGACTCGTTCCAAGACGCCGTCAAGTGTCTGTCGGAGTTTGCCTGCAACGCCGCTTTCCCAGACACCAGCATGGAGGCCATCCGCCTCATCCGTAGCTGTGCCAAATACGTCATGGAAAAGCCTCAGGTGAGTCTGGGTACCAGACTTGGTTTTTCTTTTATAGTGGACTTCATGAGGGAGCAGAAGACGTTTTTTATTGAATCCTGTTAAAAAAGTTCAATAGAAATAGTAAGAGATTTGGAGAAGACCTATGTCTTACAGACACGTATATTTCTGACAACTTCCACAGGTACTTAAACTAGCTAATACTCAGAATACGCGTTTGAACAAAGAGATTTGACCATTGCATATACCAAAGAATCTGCTTAAATCTACAGTGGCAAAGAAAGCAACGATTTCACATAAAGGTGTTATTCCCATTGAAAGTGCAAACTTTAAAAAAAATCCAGCCCTTCTGTATTAAATGCAGAAGATTCTCTGGACAAGTCATGTCTGCTGAAACCCACAATTCTATGGACACTCATCGTTCTGCAGAAACAAAGTCTGCAATAATGCGTAATCTTCCAGAAACCCATAACAAACTCCTGCACGAAGCAACTCTGCATGAAAGCTTCATTCTGTTCACTCCTCTGATTCTTCAGAGCCCACCATTCTGACAACATCGCCCAGTATCCCTCGTGCAGAAAGGTTACTCGCCTAGATTTTGTGATTTCCGGAAAAAAACATCGTGGTTCTGCAGGATCGCTTGATTGATCAGAAACCAAGATGTTACAGAAGCCTATGGGCCTTCTGTCTAAACCTGTTGTCTTGTCAAACAAAAGTCCAGTGCATGTCGACTGAATAATTGCAGTACAACGTTCAAGTGTCATTTTTCCCGTTCTTGATCTCTCTCTTAGATGTTCCGTGAGCACGTCGGCGACCACGAGACACCCATTGATGAGGAGGATCGCATCTGGGTCAAGGGATGGTTCCCTGTCCTCTTTGAGCTCTCCTGTGTCATCAATAGGTGTAAACTGGACGTCAGGACAAGGTGAGGAACAAGTATGGACCCCAGAAAAACCGATGGAAAAGCACAAGTTTAATCCACTGTAACAAAATGAAGAGCTTAGAATGTGCTTAATAGTGCATATCAATAGTGCATATGAAAAATATACTTAAAGCTTGTTTTGTGGGATCAGTTCAAATTTTACAGAAAGATTGAGCTTTCCCGTATTTGGCACTCGAATAAAGGTTGGTTCGTTCAACTTGGAATAAAGGTTGGTTCGTTCAACTTGGAATAAAGGTTGGTTCGTTCAACTTGGAATAAAGGTTGGTTCGTTCAACTTGGAATAAAGGTTGGTTCGTTCAACTTGGAAGCGAATGTCTCGTTGAAATTCATGTCATTAGGCTAATGTTTGTATCAAGTTTGCTCCATGTGATATAGCAAGGGATAGAGGTTGGCACAGTGGTTCTTTCCTCACCTTAAGTTGCTGCCATATCACAGGTTGCTTCCCAGCTAGTGTGGGTACCCATGTTTTGGTGGACAGTGGTAAATCAGTGTTAAGTGGTCTGCTCAAGGACACCACGCGATGTCAGCAGCTGGATTTGAACCCCTGATCATAGGTCGCAAACCCTGTTCCCTTATAAGACCCCTCCAAGTCAAAGAACAGTAAACACAGCATAAGGCCAGCCTCTGGATTTGTAACTTTGACCCCTGACCACATGATATCCAACCTACTGCCCCCCCCTTATAAAAAGCTCTGAAGGAGAGAGCTTTGAACACGTCACAGGGACAGTAGCTGGATTCAAAGCCTTGACCCTTTGATCACAAGGCACAACCCTATACCCCCCCCCAAAAAAACTTTGAATCAAAGAGCTATAAACATTACTTGACCAGCTGGATTTGAACCCTAGACCCTCCAATTTGCAAGCCACAAACCCTATTCAGTTGTTCAGCCCCTTCTAAATCAAAAAAGCTGTCAACACACTGTAAGACCAGGAACCAGATTGGAACCCTTGACCTTTCGATCCCAAGCCGCAAACCCTAACCACCGGTCCACCCGCCCTTCTGCTATAACCTCCCAATCTGTTGCAACCTTTCAGGGGTTTGACCGTCATGTTCGAGATCATGAAGAGCTACGGCCACACGTTCTACCAGCACTGGTGGAAGGACCTCTTCCGGATTGTCTTCCGCATCTTCGACAACATGAAGCTCCCGGAACAGGTCTTAGAAGTGAGATGGATATTTTTATGGTCCGCCCTCAAAGAACCTGGAGCCGATCTCCACCCTACTAACAACGTTACCAAAACCCTGTTCTGTTGATTAAATGTGGAAGTGTTAAAAACTGTGAAAGTGTCCTATGCTCGTTGAAGACTAGTCTGGTTCCCTAGTCAGGTGCTCGTCTCTAGGTCCAGTAGCCACCATGGTCACATTACTGTTACTCTCATTCCTTTCCACACCTGCTGCTCTGAATTTCGTTGTTTTTCATGTTCACGAATGTCTGCAGCGTATGAATCGCCATTTTGTCTCCCATTTGCTTTCCTGCAATTTTACTGATTTGAACGCCTATTGCCGTTTGCATACGACCTTTGCGGAGGCTGTCTTTTTAAAACACAAATGGACACTTTTGAGCTCCATCTTAAAACTGAAACTGCACTGCGTTATGTTTGACAGTGGTGGCCACCTGACCTAATTTAGGAGACATGAAGGATGTTTTAAGGCAGGGAACTAGACTAGTTTTGAATACCTGTTTAACCAGTAGGGTGCTGTGACTTTCCACACATTTAGCCAGCGCATGCCTGCAGAGTTTCCACAAAGCCACCAACAGAGGGCGGACTTTCACCCATTCTACCATGAGAAACAGTTCCATGCGTCCATTTTTTCTTCTCAGAGTTAACATCACTAACAGCACAACTAACAATTATTTCATAGACGGAAATTTAAACTTAGCGGGCCTATTCACTCATCAAAGCAGTATTTTGAGTGGAAGTAACTGAGACTTGCCTGTTTCAGTTTGCTGTTTGCGTATTACATCGATAGTTCTTGCATTCAAGTAAAATGCTGAACTTGGAAACTCGAGTGATCTCTTTTTACGGGGGGAGAGGCAAATACTCATTGAATCTTGATTCTGGCCAATCAGTGCATTTGAATCTTGATGCTGGCCAATCAGTGCATTTGAATCTTGAGTCTGGCCAATCACTGCATTTGAATCTTGAGTCTGGCCAATCAGTGCATTTGAATCTTGATTCTGGCCAATCACTGCATTTGAATCTTGAGTCTGGCCAATCAGTACATTTGAATCTTGAGTCTGGCCAAACAGTGCATTTGAATCTTAATTCTGGCCAATCAGTGCATTTGAATCTTGAGTCTGGCCAATCAGTGCATTTGAATCGTGATTCTGCCAATCAGTGCATTCTTCAGTGTAGCAATGTAGAGCTTTTCTGCGCATTCTTTAAAATAGGTAGAGGCCATTCATTCATTGTGACACGTTCATCCGTGTGATACAGCGCTGTTTTTTTTTCTTTGGCGCTTTTGTAAATGATCAGTACTGTGTAGTATGGTGACTCTCCCTTAAAACGCCCCTGTATGAACAGGCCTCTGAATCAGACTGGACCCTTCACCCCATCCCTTCATTCTTACCCCGTTGAGAACGGTAGTGCAGGAAGGGCATTTCAAAGTGAAGAGACGACGTGTTTTTACCGTGGCAGCAATTTTTGTCTTGATTTTTCACTCTTGTAAAGCATTCGCCAAACTCAGTGGTGCATTGGCAATGCATACTGTGTGATAGATAAGCACCACAGTACATGGTTAACACATAGAGGGAGCCGCAGAAAGATGCCCCACTTTGTTGTATTGCCCTCAACGTAGCTCGACTGAATGACTCCCTTTGGCCAAGCGCATGCAGAGTCACAGGTGGTAAAGGACCAGACTAGTTGACCATTCTGGTCTAGCCTAGTGGTTGTCATGCGGGCCGCCTCTTTCCTATAAAGTGTCATCGGCGGCTGCTCATCTCTTTCCACAATGCTGTCATCACGCACTCATGACATAGCATTTTGCCAGCAAAGTGTTATTTTAGTCTTCACCAGGGGCACAATTTGGCATTTGTCAAAACAAAAACCATTTCTTAAATCAAACGTGTACTGACTAGAAATTGCAAAATGCCAGTGATAAACAACTGAATCAGGTATTGGTTGCCACTGCCAAAATGAGCCCGTGACATCTGATTCTTGTTCAAGCAAATTGCTTTGTTGATCAAGTATGTC